GCGCAGGGGAAGGGCGGATGGACGCCGCTACACATTGTTGCACAGCATGGTCACGTCGACCTCGCCCGCGCCCTTCTCGACCGCGGCGCAGCTGTCGACGCGCAGAAGGAGGACGGATGGACGCCGCTACACCTTGTTGCACAGCTTGGTCACGTCGACCTCGCCCGCGCCCTTCTCGACCGCGGCGCAGCTGTCGACGCGCAGGAGAAGGACGGATGGACGCCGCTACACATTGTTGCACAGGATGGTCACGTCGACATCGCGCACGCCCTTCTCGACCGCGGCGCAGCTATCGACGTGCAGAAGGACGGATGGATGCCGCTACACATTGTTGCACAATTCGGCCACGTCGACATCGCGCACGCCCTTCTCGACCGCGGCGCAGCTGTCGACGCGCAGCAGGAGGACGGACGGACGCCGCTACACCTTGTTGCACAGGATGGTCACGTCGACCTCGCCCGCGCCCTTCTCGACCGCGGCGCAGCTGTCGACGCGCAGCAGGAGGACGGATGGACGCCGCTACACATTGTTGCACAGCATGGTCACGTCGACCTCGCCTGCGCCCTTCTCGACCGCGGCGCAGCTGTCGACGCGCAGCTGAAGGACGAACGGACGCCGCTGCACATTGTTGCACAAAATGGTCACATCGACATCGCCCGCGCCCTTCTCGAGCATGGTGCTGCTGTCGAGGCACAGGACGAAGAGCTATGGATGCCGCTACATTTTGCTGCACAAGATGGCAAGGTCGATGTTGTGCGTGCCCTTCTTGAACACGGCGCAGCTGTCGACGCGCAGCTGAAGGGCGAACGGACGCCGCTGCACATTGTTGCACAAAATGGTCACATCGACATCGCCCGCGCCCTTCTCGAGCATGGTGCTGCTGTCGAGGCACAGGACGAAGACCTATGGATGCCGCTACATTTTGCTGCACAAGATGGCAAGGTCGATGTTATGCGTGCCCTTCTTGAACACGGCGCAGCCGTCAACGCGCAGGACAACAGGGGATGGACTCCACTAGTCCACGCGGCCTGGAACGGGCACACCGACGTTTCCCGCGTTCTCCTCGACAACGGCGCCGACGTCACGGTCGCAGACGTCGACGGACTGCGTCCGCTGGACCGCGCGAAGGAGGAGAAGCACGATGAGGTCGTCAGCCTGCTTCTCGAACGCGGCGCTGGCCTCGATGCAGAGAACCCGACGCATAGCGAATCAGCGGCTTGAGACGGGCGTGGAGGCAGAGCGCGTTGTGCATGCGCCGTAACATCTGTGACGCGTGAATTGGAGCAGGTTGCGGCGCTGTCGGAAGGGACTGGCGGAGGGTACGGAAGGGCGAGCTGAGGTTGGGTCTGGAATGCAAGGTCAAAAGGCTCTGCAGTGGTGATGCGAGAGACGGGCGATGGGCGAAGGACGATACCTGGATCTGGCTGCATGTTTGTACGCTCGTTCAGCGGATATTTCACACGTTATCAGAGTAGAAGATTTGGAAGATTATGTGCACATGCTGTCATTGTGGAATGAAATATTTACACTTGGGCACCCCGTAGCTGTACACTCTACCGCACTCCGCTCGTCTTCAAGCCTCCCCAGCACATCTGTCAGCATTGTTGAGACAGCGCATGCCATCGCAAAGATTCGCTTGGTAACCCGTCTTCTTCAAGCTGCCCTCCTACGTGATCTTTGAGACTGTCTCGTGAGTGAGCATTTCTGCGCCGATGCCGAGCTGCCTCATGGGGGACGGCCTGAGCGTATACGGGGAGTACCAGAGGGCGAGAAGGGAATGAGCCGTGGATGAGAAGGTCGCAGCGATGGATGATAACGGCTTCTACCATTGACCAGTCGATGAGCTTCACGCCGTGCTTATACATTCGCGGCGTACTTGTGTTCAAGCTTACGAGTGTGCGCGATGGCGAGGACGCTATGAGAAGCTAAAGAGTACCTTCATGGGGAATCTTCTCCCTTCCACCGATGCCTGCCGGATACCTTGGCGCCGGCATTCGGCGATGAAGAGGATTGCCCTAGGTAAGAGCAAGTCGATGAGCGAGGTTCGCGGGAGGTCATATCGACTGCGCACCTCGTCGAGATTCTGGACCTACAGTACTACGCATCCAAATGCATACGGCGCACACCGGGCTCTAGATCTCCGATGACATGACTGACGATGGCCAGTTCGAGTTGACCCGCTTGGAGTCATGTTAAATGATATTGACTGTCGGGCACGGTTGGTACGGAGTACCAAGGAAACGGCGACGTGAGATAACTCACCAGCAGAATAGTCAGTCGGAAGGCCGACAGGTTTGCAGACGCGAAGCAGTGCTAGGGAGGGGAAACAGAAGAACAGAGGGAATTTCGGGCAGTCGAGGGAATGGCGAGCAGGAGCAGGGAAGGGAATGAGCTGTAGCGCCACGTATTCTGCTGTATAAATAGTTCCGTTGTCCCAGCGGAGAACACGACACGCACTTGTGCATGCCACCCTCACAAGTTGACTCGCACTCGCTCTGTATCGACCTCGCTATACCGCCTACTCAGCGTATACAGCTCACACCCTGCGCGTCCCTGCGACGGTCAACTCAGCGCTGATCAGCGTTTGCAGCGGACAAGGGCCCCTTGAACGGCACTTTCTCTTACGCTGAGCCCTTGCGCAAGCGACGGGTGCGCCACCTCTCCTTTCCTCCTGAGATTTGGCCTAACTTGCTTTCAGGTGATCCGTTCCATAGGCCAAGCAGAGTCCTCCCCAGTAATCGAAGGAAACTTCAAGCCGAACGACGCTGCTTTACACACTGTTTCGCGATTTGACATGCCAAACTATCCTAGCAACACTTCGCCATTCGCTCGCGCCACGTCCGCAAGCTCAAGAAGACCATGAGCCCTAACCCCCTACCCTTCCAGGTTCGAGGTCTCGATGTCGCTCTCGCGTTGCATTGACAAGTATGGTTGCGAAGACAAGATCAGGCCCGGAGGGAGGGTCGAAGGCCCTGTCGAATGCCTCGCAGGACATATCCACAGCATTCGTGCGTCCAATCAATGTCTCCGTTCCTACGACCTCCACGTCGAGGGCCGGAAGGTGTAAATCCATGGCTGTCAAGCAGTGAGTTCGTGCCTTTCCGTCGACTACAGGCTCACAGAAACTACTACACCTTAGAGAAGCCTAGGACTCAGAAGGCATTGTGACACAATTTGGGCACTTCCATTGTGGCGACATCGCCAGTGTCATTGGAGCCTCGGGACACACCAAGCAGGGCGAGCTCCCGGTCATCCACTCAGAGATGATTTTCCTTTCCCCGAATCTCCATCAGCTGCCGTCAGGCCGTTTCGACCTCAAAGACCAGAATCCCGCCTGAACCTCGCCCTCGGCCGGGGCACCGTGACAAGGCGCATTTTCATCTGCCGGAGCCGGATTGCCGACTACCTCCGCCGGTTCTTCAACACCCCCGGCTTTCCAGAGGTCGACACGCCGATGATGAGCACGACTGCTGGCGGGTCGATTGCGGAGCCGTTCGTGACGCGCTACAATGACCTCGACTTCGACCTGTACCATTATTATTGCTCTCCGGGCTCTATCTCAAACAACGCTGCGGCGGCGGCCGATCTCGACCGGGTGTACGAGATTGAAAGTGTGTGAGGAACGAGGGCATTGCCCTGGCGCACAACTCCGAGTTCTTGATGTGCGAGTTTTACCTTGGTATGAGTGCGACATCTGCGACATCATCGAGAGCCTCGTCAAGGGGCTTATGGAGTGCCTAACAGGCGATGATGTTCCGCCCCGAGGGCAGGGATAACGAGAAGATGTACGAGCTGGAGACTTGAAGCGGTCGTGGCAGTGGTACGACATGATCTCGACAGTGGAAGAGAAGCTCGGGGTGAAGATTCCGGCGGGGAGGCACAACACGCGGAAGAAGCAAACAAGTTCCTGCGCGAGATGTGCAAGAAGGTCTGTTATGTTTTTCTCACCAATGTTGCTCCCTTGAGTGCTGAACTTTCTTTCACAGCACAATATTTACCGAGAGCAGCGAGCCCCGAGCGAACGCGCGCCTACTTGACGAGCTCATTGGTGGGCTCATCTTCGCAGTCGGTAAACTCGCTCGCGCAGATCTTCCTCGTGCTCTACTGACAACCGGGCAGTTGGTCACCCGCAGAAGATGTCACCGCTTGCCAAGTACCACTAATCGCGCCCCGGTCTTTGCGAACATTTTGGAGGCTTCACGTACGGAAGGAGTTTTGCAATGCGTACACGGAGAGGGCCAGGGCGATGATGAGGCGGAGGGCATCGACGAGGCGTTTTCAACGCGTACGTGCCATCCTCTGCTGCATCTGTATCCCAACTAATAACTTTGTCATGCCAGCCTTTAGCACGGTCGCCGAGCCTCGGAAGAAGGGCCGGTATAAATGAATGGTACGCAACACGAATGTCTGTTATCGGCCGCGAGATCGACTGAGTAGCTGTTACAGTGGTGTAGGTACCCGACCCAATCCCCGTTGTCGCCGGTACAAATGGCAGTACAGGCGCAACCACGTTGCTCTGCACCATCGAACAGCCGGACCAGTCGCTCGAGTCGCTCGAAGACTTCAAGCCCGAACAGTATGGGCTGCTACGTCAGGACTCATAGAAATACAAATACTATTACAAATGTGCAAACATCAATAGAAATCCAATGAAGTCCAGCTAACAAAAGAACGATTACGAGAGGTCTCGTGCAAACCGTAGGCTATACGGTAATGGGTGACTTCGCGTACAGTCCGGACTAGGCTGTCTACTGGTCTCCTTACTCCCGCAGAACTAACAAAAACTGAGCACATATCTCTGTAAGCATCGATCGTAGGCTTATGCTCGAGGATTTCTTTGCCAATGACCCGGTCGTGGCGGTATCGAGTAGCGGGCCATCGACCCCTTTCCTGGAGACAAAATCTGGTGCAAGGCCGCAGTCACCACGCCCTGAACAATTGTTTCTAGAGCTGATCAAGCACGGCCGCTGGTGCACACAACTGCGGGTCATTCACCTTTCCCGGCGTTCGTGGCGAACAGGCCTGGGGTGGGAGGAGTGCTGAACCACTCTCCAGACTCTTTCTGGTCTTCAGCCCTCAGTGTGGAGACGCCTGCAATAACTACACAAGGCCTCCCAGTTTACTTGCGTTCATATGATCAGCTGAGGGATAGACACACCAAGGCAATGAAGCCGCTGTCATAGTGCGGTCCCGCTCCTTGATTCGACGACTTGTCCCTAGAGACCGGATACTTGATGGCCTTCGCACGGTCCTGGTTCCCCCAAGGATCGAAGAACCGAGTGCGCATACTGCACGGATGTACCCCAAAAGCCTGGCAGGAGACTCTCGTCTGGCCACTTCGCGCAACTGTCACTCTCAGCCGTGCGTCCTATCAGCAGAACAGGACGAGCACACACCTAAGACAGCCCCGGAGTACTAGCCGCGTAAAGTCCAGGTTCCCCCTTCAGCGCGGCCAGGCAGACGTGCCAAACTCAAACTGCTCGCGTTGGTTGATTTTACGTTCAGTGAGTTCCGCACCTTTGAAGCGCGTTGTGCACCATCCGGATGCGCCCCTTAGACGTTCTCCGTCGCGAGCAGCTCGAAGCCGGCGCGGGCAGAACGCGACAACAGCGTCGACGCACTCCGGCGCTCGGGACGCACTGGGTGTCTTGCGGACGGTAGCCGCACAACGCGAGCGTTGGAAACTGCTCCGTCATAACGCACCGCGGTGGTCGGGAGACATACTTTCTCAAGATGTCGCGACGGGACTCTCGTGCTGCTTGCCAAGTCGCATCTCAAACTCCGAAAAGTTCATTCTACGAGCGCTTGACCATCGCTCCCGCTTCTCTATCTTTATTAGTGTTGCGGAAGAAAGTCAGGTGTAACTTACTGTCCGTAAGAAAGTCGGTAACTTACCAGTAACTCACATTTCTGACAGGCATGCCAAAATTCACAGTGTAAGTTAGTGTAAGAAAGTCTCAATCAATGAGCTTTGGGATTTGATGGTGTAATAAATTGTCGCAAATGTTTTCCCAAAATCATGATGCATCAATAGCGATATTTTCCCCCACAAGCCTCGTTAGGGCATCGTGATGTGCATCACGATACGAAATTTGCCTCATGAGGGCCTCACGATTGCCTCGTGAGGCAGTTTTGACACGATTTTTGTGCAATCTTGGGGCGTCTCCCTCATGAGGGTAAATGGAAATTTGCGACATTTTAGGGCTTGTATGACCATACGCCAGCCTAGTAATTGTCGCGGTTACGAGTCTCAGCAAATATTTTTGTGATTACTTGTAGAAATAATCTCAGGCTATCTATGCACTTTTGCCGGATGTTCAATTTTCGACCATGACATCATTTACACTCCAAACAAAATGGAAACTAACAAGGATTCTGTATTCGCTATCCCGCGCGACTCGGAGTTCATCGTTCGTCAACCATCCCTCACGGACTTGAATGTCAACAGCTGTATTGCTGTGCTCCGCTAATATACGGAGGCCGTCGAAGGGCCGCTGAGTGTCGCTCTGAAGTACGGACTGCCGGCCAGTTGATCTCGCCATATTGGACGGGACGGCTGTTCTTCATGGCAAGCGCAGTTCTGTAACGCTGCACGGCAGACGTGCCCCACGGACCATGTGGTACGGGCGACCCGTTGAACGACTACGCTGTACCGACGTTCGATGGAGTCGCTGGACTCTTCCTTCGGTGTTCCGACATTGTGAGTGTAGAGGGCCAATTTACAACTGACCCTGTAACTTACATGCTTTTCTTACATTTACTTACTGTAACTTACATATTAGACGCCAATTTAAGAAACGGGAACTTACACCACTTACTTACAGCCTTATGACCATTACTTACTGACACCGGTAAGTTACATCGCCGGGTAGTTTCTTCCACAACACTAATCTTTATTACCTCCATCTCTGACCGACAATGGCGAAATTCAAGTTTATTCTATATTACCCGCTTTCCGAGAAACCGATTGCTGCAAGAGCAGAGTGCGAGGATATTCAGGCGACCAGAATACTGCAACTTCTCAGAAATGCAGATCCTCCACTCCCCATCGACTTCAGTGATATCATTCTCCTCAAGGTACGCGCATATACGCTTCTTTTTGGATCATCGCTCACAAGCGATACCAGCCGGATAACCTGCATTACTTTCCCCGCGAGACACGACTGTCTCGCTCACTCAAGTGGATTCAGACTAATTACAATGCTGTCGAAGACGCCGACCAGCAGATTGACCTCTTAGGCCAAGTGGCTTACTATTTCCCTCACCCGGAGGAGCGGCCCACTGGCCGCGATAGCCGGCTTATTGATATCCTTGTGATTCTCCCGACCGTATGTGGTCTCTGGCTGTCGACCGTGCCTGGAGCTGACGACGACGTTTGACTTCCTAGTCAGAGAGGCTATAGATGAGCTTGGCGACCTGCCATTTATTCCTTCAGTCATCTTGAGAAGTGGGTTGATCCTGACCTCTCACAGTATCTTGTCTTCTGAACCCCGTGACTATAACAGAGTATCGCAAGGAAGGCGACCAACGAGCCCGGCGCGCGCCGCCGCCCTCAGACGGTGTCAAGGACGTGTCAGGCATACGGGCTGCACTTTGCGGCCATCAGGCCGTTGTCCATGGAGGTCGGCCAGTCAACAACTACGGTCCACCCCCTGCTCTGTTCCATCCTGCGTTAGCCAAGTTCGACCATCATCTACGTCACTTGGACAGCAACCTGCCAGAACTGGTGCCCCACCATACACTGCTTTATCATACACATAGCTTCATCATAAACAGCATCAGAACGTATGACACTGAGGACCAACGAGCATCAGCACTGCGGCCGGATCTGGAGGCCATTCTAGGTCTAAGCAGATTCGAGACGGAATCCAGCGAGGCCAAGACAAAGACTGGTATGGTGTGGGAAAGTGGAGGTGTGGTGATCGTTGTAGAGATCAAGAATGAGTCAGGGATCGAAGGAAATGCATTGTTGCAGGCCGCGATACGTTATGCCAAGATTGTTGCTGATCCCAAGGTGCGCTGGCTGACTGAAACCTAGTTATCTCAGGCTGGAGCCATGCTCTGACTACACATCAGTACCCCGTGCGCGGTCTGAAGACTAACAGCCCGGCCATCCTGATTGGAGTTATGGGCAACTCAATTGAACTGGGCAGTGCTGTCTTCCTGGTAGACGGCGTACACCACAGCCGTCCGTTGTGTGAAATACTAATTACAGACTTTTACACCGATGACCTTGTCTCGCGTCTGGCACGAGTGTTCAGAGCGATTGTCATCGCGGCCAGCTCCATCCGAGAACACTACTACGGTCTGGGAAGGCTGCCGTCGAATGCAAACAGCGTTGGGCATCTATTCCCGTCTCCGACTGCTCGAGATGGCGACCCGATCCCGGAACGGCTGGTATTCAAGTGCAGGCTGTCTCGAGATGGTCATCGCTTCATTTTCCCTGGTGAGCGAGGAAAGTCCATATCGGACTCAAGTACCGAGGCCGCAAGCCCTGTGGTATCAGAGGAAGGTACGGAAGATGCGGTCTACGAGGATGTACGGTCGAGGATGTATATCGCCTCCATCCCATGCTCGGGTACTGCCGCCGGATGTGCCGCTTCATCCTCGGGGTCTGCATCCGAGGACTCCTCGGTCGAGGTATTGGTCAAGTTCACCAAGCGCTACAATGCCAAGGCCCACCGGATACTGGATGAAGAGGGTTTTGCGCCACGGCTGTACTCGTGCTCGCGAGTATATGGGGATCTGTACATGGTCGTGATGGAGTACCTTGTCGGCGAGACAATGTTCGACCGGCAGGAAGCGGGTAAATCTCTCCCGCAGTCGCTCTACACGGACGTTGACATAGCGATCGGAAAGCTGCATGAGGCGGACATTGTGTTTGGCGACCTCTGTCTACCGAACATCATGTGTGTCCCTGAGTCGGGTGGGCCGTCAGGATCCCCGGGT